TGCAGGACAAGGTCCACGAGGAGATCGACCGGGTGGTCGGTAGGGAACGCCTGCCAACTCTCGATGATAGACCTAGGTATTTATCGTATGCATATTTGCTCAGCTACTTTTGTCAGGCGTTAAGATACATTGTTGTTGAAGGCGTATCAAAGCATTTCTGGGCTATATTGCGGTTCGTGACAACCATCATACAAATGACAACCTGCGACAGCCGCAATTTCTATTTGATGCTGCGACGACGTGTCTTGAACCTAAGATTATTCTGAAATCACGAACATTTCTTCAGGCCATAAAAAGTACACTGCGGTGACTGCAGTCTGGACATGGGTCTCGCCCCATTGCTTGGCTTACTTTGCGGGCGCAGCAGTGTGAAGTGTGTATTTTATTTTATCCCCGACTTACCCATGGGAAGAAATAGTTTCATGACCAGAAGTAGACGGTTCTGATTGCTAGTATCGATGATGAAATAAGTCGTATTTTTTGTCAACAGTATGCCATACACTGAGGCCTGTATCCGAGAGGCTTTGCGAATGGACCCCATTGTACCCATGGGGGTGCCACATCGCGCCACAAAGGCTACCACTTTTGCTGGCTACGATCTACCTGAAGTGAGTTGGATTCACAGATATTACTCGGCCTTGTTCTGATTTTTCCCAGTTTCGATTCCACCCCGTTCCCAGTTGCAAAAACATTATCTACACTCCTTTTTGTGGGCAGTCGTGTAAAAATGCAAAATCGGATGGAGTCAGATCCGGTGGTGGGATTGAAAATGATTGGAATCAGAACGATATACCATCATATCAGCTTATTGCAGTCAACTTCTGGACGTAGGTCTCCCCCGAGTATGCCACAATGCACGATCTCCCGTTTGCACCATCCAGTCACTACCAGCCGCTCTCTTTATGTTATCAGTCCATCTGGCCGGAAGATGCATAACCCAACTCTTCCCTCCTCTCGCGAACTCGCTTCCTCTATAGATCATAATGTACCATATTAAGAAAATAACTGTTACCTTTTGCGACATCCACTAATGAAAATGCGGTGATGCTATTCTAAGCCATAGTTACACGACATGCCTTGACTGAATGATTGAAAATCACTAAATCTTTTTCAGAATTGCGCGCTAGCAGTCAACTACGTAGCTTTAGGTTTCGACAAAGAACTCTGGGGTGATCCTGAAGTGTTCCGGCCAGAACGTTTCATCGAAAATGGGAAAATATCTCCAGCTAAAGACAAATCGCTACCTTTTGGAGCGGGTGAGATAGAATATTTTGTCTTTGTTTTGCTTCAAATATTGAGATTCGATATGTGAGAACTACCTGGGGCCCGTTTCACGAAGCACAAGTCACAGGTTACAATTCTACAAGCTACAAGACCAAGTTTTCTACAAATTTATAACTACAAGTGTTTCACAAACATCGATTGAGGACTTACAATTGTAAAATGACCATAGAGACATCTTACAAGAAATAAAATCTCGATTCAACAAGTGTATGTGACAGCACTAAACATTCATTCAATTACTCACTCACGTCAATGTCAAATTCTCAATATCCCAGCGACTAATTCATTCTTTACAGATTGAATGTAGTCAAAGCGATGAAAACCCGCGATAAATTGAATACCAAATTTAAAATGTATTCAATTTATCGCGGGTTTTCATCGCTTTGACTACATTCAATTTGTAAAGAATGAATTAGTCGCTGGGAATTAGTTGTAAAACTATCCCGGTAGATGGAGCCCATCCACGCGATAGTGGACAAGATATACTTCTATAATTTCGCGGGCTCGATTAGAACCGCGGTAGCCCAGTTGGTTAGGGCGTCGGCAGTACTGATGCCGAAGGTCGCAGGTTGAAATCCTGCCTGCGGTGAAAATTTTGGAAGTTTTCCAAAAATTGTTTACCTTACACGAGAAGTGTTTTTAAATTTGGTATTCAAATTCTCAATATTTGTAAACAAACAATACTAATCTTTCTAGAAAAATAATCAAATAAATAAAAAAGAAAGGTTTTTAAAGGAATAGAAAGGAAAGAATATGCAATAACGTGTGGTGCCGGCAGAGTAGAATAGCACCACCCCTTCTCTTCCCGTGGGGATCGTAAGAGGCGACCGAGGGATAAACCCGACCCAAACAGCCAGGGCCAACCGTATGGTGGCGGTTAATCCACAAACAAAAGCATTCCCAAGGAGGGTTGGTAGGCGGCCGGTCGTAAAATTAAGCCAAATCCTTTGCAACACGATTTGTGTTAAACAAGACGTGTTGCGCCGACCCCAAGTAATTGGGATAAGGGCAGGAAGATGACGATGATGATGCAATAACTATACCTATGCAAACAAATACAACAAAAGAAAGATGTGATATTCGCGGCATTTCCCCAGAAATCTTTAGTTGAAATCGTAATCGGTACGAAATTTCGTGTAAATTCGCTCTTGAAAAATTCTTGGTAATCTTTTATTATCTTTGTCAGAGAATGAGTCCGACTCCCACACCTGCAACATTATTCGCACAGCTCTCGATAATTCTCTAAATTAGCATTAGATACGCTGTATTTGATTTTTAATCCAATAAATTTACAATTCTACCTAGCTCCCGAGGTAGGTAGACTTGTGAAAAATTTGACAGATAAAAAGTTAACAAGTCTGAGTTTCTTTGTGAAACACTTGTTCGATTATGCGAAATTTAACAATTAAAACAAAAAGATTGTCTATGGTTTGTAGAATTGTAGTTGTAGCCAAATAAACTACAATTGTGAAAAAGTTGCTTTGTGAAACACTTGGAAATAGCGTAAACGAAACGCAATTACGATTTTATTAAGGGTTTTGTTTCTTTCCAGGTCGGCGCCTCTGCGCTGGAGAGACGTTTTCCCGTCAGATTATGTTCCAGGTAAGAACTTTTTATGAAAATTTTATGTTCCTTATTATAATTGGCAATATGTATGCGTATCCCACTGCCTACCAATAAGATGCAGCGAGACTATTCCGACGTGGGGCAATGCCTTCACTGTGGGGCTATCACTGTAACTCCTATTACTCCCGTTCTTCCTAGAAGTAACTTTTAATAGTTATTGCATCTACCATAAGCATTGATATATGCCACAGACGGAAGCTGTAGTATAGGCCTCTGATAGAATTGCACCACGTCGAATTAGCCCCGCTGCACCCTAGTGTTGTTGTTTGGCATATATTCGTTAAGCAACATTAATGCGCAGCTTTGTTGATAAACTTAAAGATTTTTTCTGATAGTGTGTTATTTCCAAAGAGGGTTGATTTCAGGCAGGTGGCCGGTCGTAAAACATTGCCAAATCCTTTTGCTACGTGATTTTGTGCTCTAAAAAATATGTTGTGCCGACTGCAACTCATTTGATTTGCCGATTTGATTCGCCGACTGCAACTGAGATGATGATGATGATATGATTGAATCTGATTCCGTTTCCAGGTGTTCGCCGGGTTGATGCAGGCGTTCAGCTTCTCTCCAGCTGGTGGACAGTACACCGAGCGAGCCGCCCGCGTGCCTGGCATCATCATCAGTATGCCGGAACTCTGGTTCAAAGCCACTCCTAGATAGAATATGATATACTTAGTATGATTTTAAGCTTAGGTATTTAAATTTATAAATTATTTCTGAAAATAAGTATGTCTTGAGCCAGTACATATAATGAACAAAATTATACCCCGAGTATAGGCCAAAGTTTGAATAAAAGAAGAGGCAGCTTTTGTAAATTAATGTTGCTAGTCGTTGGTTTAAATATGTTACAAGTATAGGGCCTTCTGGCCTTCTTCTGTATGTTACAAGTATCGGGCTTTCCTCTGTATGAGCATGGTCCAGGTGTTCGCCGGGTTGCTGCAGGTGTTCAGCTTCTCCCCAGCTGGTGGACAGTACACCGAGCGAGCCGCCCGCGTGCCTGGCATCATCATCAGTATGCCGGAACTCTGGTTCCAAGCCACTCCCAGATAGAATAACACTACAAAACTTCTAATGTTACCTTTAAATACCTACCTAGACATCTGCTCTACCTTTTTATGGAGTGTATAAATGACTGAAAATATGTCTAGAGACGTCATTTTCCCAATGAGAGTATAAGTCGAGATAAATAAGGAATAAGTTACTCCTCTAACTTACTCTGGTCCTTACACATTCGGGACATGCTAAACATGTTACAAGTATCGGGCTTTCCTCTGTATGAGCATGGTCCAGGTGTTCGCCGGGTCGCTGCAGGCGTTCAGCTTCTCTCCAGCTGGTGGACAGTGCACTAAGCTTTATGTATCTTTTAATACTACTTTAATTTAATTTATACATAATTTCTAAAAATAAGTAGGTACCTAAGTATGTTTAGAGCGTTAATACAGTATATAAAATAATAAAAAATTTACTCCCGAGTGTTGGGCAAAGTTAGGATAAAGGAAGCGACTTTTTTGTAAATTAGTTTCGCTTGTCGTTGGTCTAAATATTTAACAAGTACATAGGGCCTTCTTCTGTATGAGAAAAATGGAAATAAATCAATTTGAATTTTAGGCTTGTAGAATTTTCGGCTCTACTATAGGTAATCTGCTGACTTTACCAGCCAGCCTCAGTGTAAAATATAGGTAATCATAACCATATATTAATATATTTATATTAAATTTATATTATTAGCGGCAATTGTGATGAAAATTAAAAATATCTTCAAGTATATTTTACTAGTTATTAACCCTGTCTATACGATTCAGGCCCCAACAAAAAAATTATATTTTACGTGTTAAAAATTTGGGCAACTAACTGCAATTCGGACTAATGTAATGGCCAATTTTTTGCAGTAAACTGTTGTGGCTGTTGATGATAAGATGACCTACAGGAACCAGTAAACGTTGGTTGCCTTTTATATCTCAAGTGACTCAGCCACAAAACAGTGTCCTACTGGTGAACATATTTGTAACGAAATAGTAAAATAAAATAACATTTAATTGGGATTTTTATTGCACCCTATTATTCTCATTAATAATAAAGTTGAAAAATTTATTAACGTCGGCCGGGACTTGAACCCGGGACCGTGAGGTACCGTCCCACTGCTACGCCAACTGGGCTACCGGCGCCTGGCTGACTCTAACGTATTTTTCGATCTGTTGATGCTCGACTCGAAGCTAAGCATCTAGGTAGTAGGAAAGTATCTACCTACCTAAACTTCTCTATTTGATACGAAATTTTGAACTATTCTATTTTTAATTTATGAAAAAGTGAAAATCAAATTTTGGCGGCAAAAAAAACAAAACAATATAATCTTTGAGAGTCACGTGCCAGCCGCACTGAAGTTTAGGTATGTGACATAATCGACGTTAAAACTTAAGTTAAAACTTGTTAAAAATAAGATAAACGGCGACCCACGGGTTATATTGCAATCATTTTTAAGACTAATTGAGGATTTGGTTTTGGGGTTCTGCATGCTAGTACCTAATTATTATTTTGGATAAGAACCTATTTGCTGGGGTTCCGTCGGTTCCATCGCTTTTACAATCTGAATTAATGACCTTAATCAAGTTTTTTTGGCGAAGCAATACACATTTTTGAAAACGAATAAAAAAAATGCTGAAATGCTACTCAAAAGTTCTAGATTTTTTCACTCCTTGAACTTTTGGGAAGACTTTATCGAGAAGTAACCCTAAAAGTTGCGAGTCCGAAGCGCAATTGATAAAGTATTGTTTATTTTAAACAGTAAGTGATACCTAAGTACGTATACTTATGCAAAATACACTTGGACTGATAATTCAAGTATATTACATTGTCATTATTTCGTCTGTTTGTGGCAGTATATCGCGCGTTCTGCGTAAGAGCGCTCTTCCCGTTTTCTCCTGCCGCGTGGGTCGTAGAGTCGACGAACGACCCTCAAGATGATCGGATTGGTGGTAGCTGGAGTGTTAAGCACATGCTTTTTGGTGTACTGTTTCAAGAATGCCTACAAGAAACCCCCGAATTTCCCGCCTGGTAAGTACCTAGCTACTTTATTACCTAGTTAGTCGGTTCGGTTGCTTTAGAACTTAGTAGAAATTATTTATACTACGTTAGCAATAAGAACCTACTTTGTAACTAGGTACCTCTTAGAGTGTGTAGCATGCCATGTAATTATAATTAGTTAATCTTCCTCGTAGAATTAATAAAAGGCCCACTCACATCTATACATATAATAAAACAGTAAAACCCGTGTGTCTGTACATTAGACAAATTTACAAAAAATTAAATGGGGGTGACATTCAAACTGATTTAAAACACATTTCAACTAAAAAAAAAATGTCTGTCTGTTTGTCTGTTTGTTCCGGCTAATCTCCGAAACTACTGGACGGATTTGGATGAAATTTTTTGTATTGTGTAGCTACTGAACCTGGTCAACATCTTAGCCACTTTTTACTGCGGGAAAATTGCTCATTCCTACGGGAAAAGCGATAAAGCGCAAAATCTATACATTTTCAAGATAAGTTAACATTTAATCGCTGAAACTACTGGACAGATTTGATTCAACCTTTTTTTTGTGTAGCTACTAAACCTGGTCAACATCTAAGCCGCTTTTTACTGCGGGAAAATTGCTGTTTCCTACGAAACGTAAAATGTAGGTACTCTTCAACCGGGTGGACTTGAATGGAACTTTTTGTCGTGTAAATCCTGCTCAACATATAGGACTTTTTTTCTGCGGAAAAATAGTTCATTTTCACGGGATAAACGATAGAACGTAGAATCTTTAAATTCTTTTAAAACATTTAATATTCAACCAGATGGATGTCAATACATATTTTATTTTGTGCTTCTTAACTTAATTAAGGTCAAAGTGTAAACTACTTTTTAATGCAGGAAAATCGCTCATTTGCTTGCTGGAATTAAAGGTCTGAGTACCTCAAGATCAGTAATTATGATTTTTGCCTAAAACTAAATTGTCGTTTTAGGGCTAACAGAAATATAGCATTATTGTAAGCTTGAACTCTCTAACTATCGCGGTTTATGAGATACTGCCTCCTTGTGACAGACTGATGGACGGACAGACCGCGAAGTGTTTTTTTTTTACTTTGTCTTTTGACCCGATGAACTTTGGAGCCAAGAGATTTTCAACCGCCTACTACAAATAGCAAGCTGACAAGGTTGTGTAACGACTGCTGTATAAGTTATCATAATCATAGGACAGCAACTGCAACCGACGGCTTAACGTTCCCTCCAAGTCACGGAACTATCTTACTTTTCGGACAATCAGGTGGTTCAGCTTGCACGGTTCTAACCAGACTAGAAACAAATTCACACAGTGATAAATATCAACTTTATGAGTGACCTACTGGAAATACAACGCGGAACTTCCGCACGTCAGAAAATTCACACTACCACTGCACCACATTGGCTGTTATAGGGTAATAAAATAAGTCAGTCGAAAGTTCATCCATCCATAACAGCTACAACATGTCACTGCTGGACGTGGGCCTTCCCTTATCGGGGATATTGCCATACTTACCACGCTTGGCTGGTGGATTGGTAGGTAAGCGCAGTGCAAGATGTTGCATTCACAAGGAACGCTACTGCTCATTCATTGGATGATTAAGTAAGTCAGTAAGTTAAATAAGTCGCATTTTACGACACCCACGGGTAGAATTAGGGTGATGCTTAGAATTCTAAGCTGGTATCACACGGCCAGACACGGACACGGACAGAAAGTGATGGCGCTGAAAAATTAGGACAGCTGACGTCGTACACCAGGAGCGCAGATAAATTATAATACAGGTAAACTATAATAGGTACACATGAAAATGGCTCTAATAGAAAAGTTATTAGCATGATGTGTCACTTCTCTTGGCACATACCTAAGGTACCTCTATGCATGCCTTAGCGAGACGAAGTTCGCGGGCACCAGCTAGTTTAGAATAAATAAAAGAAAAAGATCATAGCACTTTTCATTGATCTTCATAGCTTAGCTGATTACCTAATAGTTCACTTCACATCACATCAGCTTATAAAGCAGTCCACTGCTGGAGGTAGCCTCCCCAAGGATTCGCTATACTTAAGATACGATCTCCCATTTCCGCCCCATCCAGTCATTACCAGCCGCCCTCTTTATGTCATCGGTCTATCAGGCCGTCTAACGCTACGCTTGCCCAGGCGTGGCCTCTTCTCAAGACCATTCTTTATCATCATCATCATCATCAACAACAACAACAGCCTTCTGGGTAAATACCTAGGCTTCTTCTTTCTCACGCCAGTTTTTACGGTGTTGTGCCTCCCATCCAGTGCTGTCCTACCACGGCCACGATGTCGTTTGACCATCTGGCAGGTGGTCTGCGTACTGAATGTTTCACGCATCTTGGACGCCATGCTCTATCATGATCTGATGCTCTTGTAGGGAACATACTTACTTCACCATATTTTGGTTCTACACTGCCGTTACGGCAATAAATAAAGACTAGGTATTTATTTACTATTCGCGGAATTTAGGAATGTTTGTTGCATTATAGACATCAAATGATTTAACTGTTTATTGCCCACAAGATAGAACACAGGACAATTACATAAAGAAAAACAACACAACAGGTACTGCTTATTTCTAAAAAGAAATCTCTAAGAATAAATGAATTACGAGAAGTTTTCACATCTCCTTCCTGCTACCTTCTCTCTTCTTCTGAGTCGTTTTTTTCATTGCCGAAGGTCGTGTCCACAAAGTTTTTCAAGTACATTTTTCTCAGTATATTCTAACTTCTCTCATACATAGAACCAAAAAATCACGACTGAGCGCTACCCGCCTGTAGACATGTTACCTAGGTACCTGTGGCGTTATTAATTTTGTTAAACCTTTTAATATTTATTTTGCATGGGTAAGTACTTTGTTGCAAGTGCCTATAACTCTTCTCAATCCATAAATCTACCTATAACGTTAACTAAGTATCTATTTATCGTTCATAGACCCGTAAAGTATTAGGTAGGTTAGTCGTAAAACATGGGAACTTTGTAGTGGGCTGTAAATAGTGTAGCATCACAAATGTTTATGAGGTTTAAGTTCGCGTCCTGTGAATTGAGCATAAAACTTTTTTATTTTAACTAAACTCTACCATCCGCCCGATGAGCAAAATTTTGATACCGTGTTAGCCGTGTTATTACAAAATGTTAGGTAAACATCTGGTTAGAAATGGTTTAAGTCGTTTGACAACGTCAAATTGTATAGAAAATAATTTAATAGCCCTTACCATTACCACAACAAAGTTAGACAAGCGATGAATTCGTGTCTAGCGTTTTTTGTATGAAGTTTTATTTTAAACGCGTGTTTAACACTGGTCTAACTTTTTTATTGTAAGACCAAGTACAAATAAACGCGCGCTTAACTTTTTTGTAAAGAACTAGATTTACATTTGATATTTACATTATCTGTAAAGAGGAATAATTCAAAATTGAAACGGTACTCATTAGGTAACTATCAATTAAATAATTACTTTCTTGGAGATTAATAGATTATATGTAGCATTATTTCGACGGTCCCTACGTATAAAGACGTAAGTGAAATTAGCAAATTTTACAGGAGAGCGTTTTTAAGTTTCAAATTAGTGTATCTCTAGTAATACTATAGATAGAGTTTTGAAATTTTGAACATACATATATTTCGTCAATATGTTTATGAAAAATAGAATAAAATGTTATTATAATTATTATTTGTATATAAATAATTATATACGTAGTTTTACGACGGAATTACGTTGGAATATGTGTAGTTAATTTATGTGGATTCTTAACTACCACTGCCGTTATTTTACGTTGGAGTTGTGTAAATTGTGTAGTTACGGGGTGTCAAGTTCGAGTGGAATTAGGTCATTTTGAACTATGCTGTCTTTACCATAGGTAGGTAGCGACAATCTAAGGTGAAAGCAAAGAAAAAAGGCAAACGACTTAAGTACCACTTACGGAATTGTACGTAGGGACCGTCGATTTATACGTTAGGTTATGTAGTATTTTCGTAGATCATCATCATAATCTTTGTAAACGTAAAAGTTGAGAGTTCAAGAGTAAGACTGACCTACATTGCTTACTTAAAAAGTAAATAAGGAATATAGCAAAACACATTAGAACACACTGATTTACAATC